GTGTGTGTGTGTGTGTGTGTGTGTGTGTGTGTGTGTAAAGAACAGGAAGTGCCTCTTCAACAACAGAAGCAACACGTGCGGAGAAGCCTGCCGCCAGGAAATAATAAAGTCATCACTGCCCTTCAAACATTCATTCTCATATATATATATATATATATAAACTTTATCCACAGTTGGGTGGCACGCACTGTGTTGTTGGACAAATACCAACAAATAAACCCAATATATGTATACCTATGCAAAAGAAGCAAACAAAAGCACATATGCACACATATGAGCAATCATACAAGCAAATAAAAAAAAACCTCCAACAGAGTTCATCGCGTTTAATGCACGAGGCAATCAATGACCCCGCCGTACTCTTTCAGCAAATTCCTGTGGATAATTATCTAAACAATAACGTGCCTCAGGGTAGACATCATTTTCATGGCAGTTCTTGTATTGAGAAAACACGCTATCCAAGACAAGATGTATGGCGTCAGAGACATGTTGGTCAGGAGTCCAGTTGATGCGAACCATCCGATCACAAATTCCGCCTTCTTTTGTCACCAAGGGGCTGTATATTGCGGTAACAAAACGCACCATTGGTGGCTCATGTGGATAGTCTTCGGAAAAAAGTACCGAAAGTTGGTATACGCTGTCAGCGCCACCGTAGATGCTATCAGTGGGAGCTTTCACTTTCAGCGTCCAGGTATAGGTGCTATCCGCATCAACAGCAACAATAACAGCAGATTCTGTACCATGAGTGCTCTTGGCTTCACTACATGCGTGAACATCCTCAACAAGGAGCCTAAGATCCTTGCTAATCCTTTTGACGGCAATGTTCTTCATTCCTCCCCCTTCCTTTTTAAAAGGCTTTTTTTTTTTTTTTGTTTTGCCACGCAGAGCACACGTCGCCTCACTTCACCTCTAAGAAGAGAACCTAATGGTGTAGATGTGTGCAGAGCCAGTCAACGCCTCAGCAAACACGCGCACATGCAAAGTGAGTGAGTCGCCACAAAAGGTATGCGTAAAGAGGTTGACACGTCAATCTGCAGAAAACAATACATTTCACAAAGACAATGCAACAACAAAAAAGAAGAACCAAAAGTAATGTGGCAACAAAAAAAAACCCACCTGAGAGGTCAATATTTCATTACAGCCTTCTTATCCTCACGCCTGACGGCCAGCAGGACATAAACGACATAAAAAGGCACTCGCACATGCACACGCACATACAAGTCAACGTATATATATAAAAAAAGATACAAAAAGAGGCGAGGGTATGAAGGAAAAAAATTAAAAAATTACACCGATTTCACCAACATTTGCTGCTTCCTGCACCCCAAACACCCAATACCATTAGCTCTGTGCGGTGCCTGCAGCGTAGAGGAAGCAAAGACAAGCAATAAAGTAGGAAGAAAGGAGAGACAAGAGCAGTCCTAAAAACAACAGCAAGCAAGCAGAACAAACAAACAAACGTAAATAAATAGTAAAAAAAAAAAAAGATGTCAAACACATGAATCCAAAAAGTTTCATTTACCTTCTCTACAGCTCGTCACAACTTGGTGGATTCGGTACCGTGAATTGATTTTCCTTTACGCAGGTGTCTCTCACTTTCTCTCATTTTTTTCTTCAAGGTCGTTTTTGTGTTGTTCCCTCAATAACGTTGGCATCGTCTATTATCCGTAGCACACACGCACACACACCAAATAAAAACCCACCAACGCCCATGGGGCAAAATAATACAGTGAAGGGTATTGATGATAAAATTGATTACGTGGGAGGCGGCATCGACGCTGCTGTCCCCCCTCCCTACAAAAATAAAAAAAAACAAGCAACACCATTATAAGTAGATATATCTACTTGTATATATATATATACACACACACATAGATATACACAATACGGGTGCACATATGCATGGACATACATATATGAGTGTACGCGTGGGTTCACGCAAATAAGAAAGAGAAAAAACACTCGCAAGCAGCTCCTTCTGCTACTTCCCACCTCCACCACAACAAGAAAAGCGAAAGTAGAACTAGTGCTCATGCAACTTGGAAGAAAAAAGAATAGTCCCCTTAAGTCCGCTTTTTCCAATTGCACTTTCTCCCCGCCCCGAAAGGGAAAGATATAAATTGTATGCATCCCTGTCATTACACAAAGGATAATAGAAACAGCAAAGCGTGTGATAAAGGAATCCAAATAAAACACACACACACACACACAACAAAAAAAAAAGCAACGATGGGGCGTGTAAAATACACACGCAAAAACAAAAGAGAACCCACTTTACAAAATCAAAAAGAAGCAAAAACAAAAAGCAAAGATATTTTATTCAATGTTTAGTTTAGCCCTTCTTTTTTTTTCGTATGTGTATTTATTTGAGTTTCCCTCATTTCCTCGTACGGACCAGTACTTGGTGTTTGGCCCTAGGCGGCAAGGGGTTGGTGATAACCGCAACTCTTATCAGACTTCGATTTGGGAAAAAAACTCAGTCGCTTCAAAAGAAGTCGTCTAGCACCCATCATATAGGCGTCAACTGTGATGCTCCCAAGCTTCTGCAGGTCAATTTTGTGAAAGCTTGAGCGGATTTTTTCCTCGCTGGGTGCCTCACAGCCCAACTCTTCAAAGACCCCAAGCATGCTTGAGCGGAAACCGTCGTAGTCCAGCATTCCATTGTCATCGGCATCGTACAATTTAAAGTGTTCCTGACACAGTTGTGCAAAACACTTTTCATCACGAAGGCTCTGTGACAACAGCATGTCCTTCACCGTGACTCCAAATATGTGTTGCTTAAGAAGGATACACTCTTTTATTTGTTTGCGGTCAATCGCTGCAGGTAGGAGGTTGCGCTCTTCTAGTACCTGCAGCACAGTTTCCGTCGCCACATTACCAACAAGGTCGTTCTTCCTTGCAAACGGACAGCCCCCCATGCCCCCAAGTGCACTGTCAAATAGCTTGCATCCCGCATCCAACGCCGCATTTATCTTTTCTTTGGATGTTGCTGTATCACTGTGAAAGTGTGCACCAAAAGAAATTTCAGGAAACTTCTTTTGCAATCGTTTAAAAAGATCATACGTCATCTGCGGCTCTGAGACACCAACGGTATCAGCAAGACTGATTCTGCGCACTCCAATAGAAGCCAACTCTGAAGCAAGCCTCTCCACAACTTCTGGACTGTAATGTTCTCTATATGGGTTACCAAACGCCATAGAAAGGTAAACAACCATTTCCTTCTTCTTGGTGACGCCCAATGGAAGTCCAATGCTGGATTGTATCGCAGCATTCGCATCTAGCACAACATTCTGCATGTGCCTAACATCGTCCAGAGCCTCCGCAATGCTCTTCTTCGTATTGAGTTGTTGAAACCTTTCACAGCAGGAGAGTGGGTACCCAATGACGCTCAGAATAGGCGTTTCAATTGCCCGCTTAAACCCTGCCTGAGATGCAACCACGACTAAAAGCTTTGGGGCATTTCCGCCCATTAGGAGTGCACGGTTGCAGCCGGCAAGCACTTCCGCACTATCTCGCATCTGCGGCACGGCCCGCGCAGAGACAAATGAGGCACAATCAATTGTATGAAACCCACACTTCAAGAGCGCATTCAAATAACGGACCTTGTGCGCTGTTGGAATAAAGTGAGGGATCCCCTGCATCGCGTCGCGTGGACACTCCACCAGATGGACTGGCGCCAACAAAAACCTCGAGAACAACATCGCCAAGTTACCCTTGCTTGTTTAACCTCGTTGTTTGCAGTTTTAACGTTTACTGAGCAAGGCAAGAACCGAGGCCACAGGCTGGTAAATACAAGCAAACAAGAGAAGGAAATAGCTACAAAATAAATCGTCGTGTAAACTATGTAATACACCTCCTCCTCCTCCTCCTCCTCTTTCTACTTTGATTTGTAAGAGCCTCCTAGAATGTGTGTTTTGGCTCGCCAAAAGCCTGCACCTACCACAAAAATGGCGCTTTCCTTTATTATATATATATGTATATATAATATAATGGCTGCAAATTCTTTCCCCTTTCCACCTCTTCTTAGTTTGTAGACAAAATACGTACTGCAGACAAAACAGATATATACACGCCTGGTACGCTGATGTACTTGCCGTGCTTGCCTTTGCTCGTCTGTTTGTGTGCTTTTTTTGTGTTTAGTGTGTGTCTGTGTGGTTTGACAGTTTCCTCCACAATACGCCCGACTGTTTTTTGTCCAAACTTTTCTATTCCTTTTTCTCAACGCCCACCGGGTTGTTCGTGTGCCTGGAAGCAAAAAGACCTACACAATCTTGCGGTGTATTCTCTTACTTGAAGAGGAACAGCAGACACAAAACACACACTAGTTCCACTCACTCTCCCTTTGTACGCACGCCAACAGAAAAATTAAAATAAAAAAGAAGCAATAGAAAATTGTGCCTGGGAAAAACCATGACAGTCCCCCTCCTCCCACAAAAAGGAGCGATCACGGTGGGCTTCAGTGCGCCCCGCATCTCTCACTGAGGACAAAATTTACCCAACAATTACAGGCACCCACAAACAAACAAATCCCCCCCAAAAAAAAAAACGTACGCAATAATAACAGGGCCCGCCGTAGTAACCTGACGAAGTGGCACTACGTGGATCCCCGCAGTCGCCAGACTGCTCTGCGTGGAGGACATACGCAGGGAGCTGAGGGGTGATGGCACATGCAAAAAAAGAGCTGGACTCACCATCTCCCGCAGTGGTATCGCTGCAATCGCAACACAAGCAATCAAGAGATAAATATGCGGGTTCAAGAAGACGCGCCGTCCTCAACAGAGCCCACTCCCTTCACACGTTCTTTCCATGGGCTGCTAATAGAATAACTTCAGGCTTCCTTATTTTTTTTTCTCTTTGTTAGGGAATAGTAACAAAATCAAAA